ATTGAATAAGTGTTATCTTATCCTGTGTTTCACGAAACCAACATATTTAAACCCATATGTAAATAAATATTAGGTTTTGATAACACATAGTGTACCAGAAAATATCGATTAGATCTTTTGAATAGTGCCAGTCTGCCTGTTACGCCTAACACGATTTGATGAAAATGAATCATGCGCATGTCTAGAATTTTATCCCCTTGTTTTCAATTTCTTTATGTGAAAATACTAGTGTTGAAGAGATTTTCAATATCCTTGTTTAGTCTTTGATATTATGCTAATAACTATCTTGTGTTGTTAAGGTGGAGTTTTTTGTTTGTATCTTTCTTTTTAAAGATGTTAGTATTTCAATTAACATATTTTTTATTCTAAGTGAATCTTTTAATTCCTGACCACAGTAGGTATTCTTCATTGTTTCTTCACATACACACACACACACGATATCTTTATGTTAAATTTGACCTTCATTGAAGAATGTTTCCCGCCTCCATTTATATCACTGAGTAGGAATAACGGCTTATTCAAACTGAAATACTCTATCTCATACATTCATTTAATCTTGTCAACTAAAAATTCACGATGGGATAAAGATACTATTGCGTGAAAACAGAAGCCTGGTACAATAAATTTATATTCATGTCCAATCCAGTACTCTCAGGTTTTCCAATGGTCCTCTGACTGATGTCAGCTCATGATAAAATCCTGAAACCAATCAAATCCCTGCAAACCAACACTGGAATGTTATGCTCACTAGCGACTGGCTGTATTCAGGTGGATAGTTACCTGGGTTCGAGTGAGAAGTCATGACCAGTGAGGTACAGCAGGTTGGGTGTGAGGACAAATACTAGCCATCGACGACACTGACTATTAGTCGCGCTATATCGTGAATTGGCAGAAGTTAGAATTCATAGCCCATTGGATCAGGTCCCAGTGACTTAATGGTCTACGAGCTCACCTCGCAACCAGAAGGTCCTGGGTTCGAACCCTGGTGGTGGGTACGTACTGACAAAGAGTCCCGAACTAGGGCGAAGCCGATGTCCAGTTCTCTCAGGTGTTCCGATGGTTCTCTAAACGATGTCAGCTCATGATGAAATCCTGAAATAAATTTATAACCAAAAATTTCAGGATTCTACTGGCACAGAAAAAATTAATTAACTTACATTGTGCGTCGGTGGCACAGTGGTTAGGACTCTCGCCGGCCATGCACATGGTCCGGGGTTCGAGCCCGCGCCGACGCACACCCGATATCTATGGTCGGCCTGCAAAATTTAGGCTACCGATATCCATGCTGAAAATTCCATACTTGTACCAAAAAAATACAGTGTGGAGTCAAGCTGTAATCAAAAATAAAAAAAAATAAATAAAAAATTCTGATTTACTTGAAATCAGAATGTTTCAGCTATTTTTATATAAAAACCGTTTGAAACAGACATCACAAATAATATGTATAATTTCCGACTTCTCTTGCTTAGTTGGCTGTAACTAAGATTTCACTAAGATTTATTATTAGTTTATCACCTTAAATATTTCGTTTTTCGATTCTGATTTATATTTAGCTAAGAAACGAATTCAATAGGCATTCTCTGTGACCACTTGTGCAACAAATCTTTATAAAATGAAAATCGTTAAAACTTGTAACATTTCTTAAAAGACAGATTCATGTTGTTGCTTAGATCTTACAAAAAGAAATAGGCTATGTAACAATAATCTATACACATTTATGCCGTATATCCTGAAAACTGACAAATGTACAGACAAACTAAATTTATCACTTCAACAATTTTTCACCTATTTCTTCTGACTGTAACAATTGATTTCATATTGATTGAAAAAGTTTGATTGCAAACATAAAATAATTAGGGCAGGAGTATTCTAACACAAGGCGAAACTCAAAAAAAATTTACGAAAAAGTACGAGGCGCCAATTTACTTTGATTCTGTCAAACACGACTACTTTAAATTGTAAGTATTCTATAATTTACACAAAGTAATACTTTCTAATGAAACTATGAATTAAGTGTTTGCTGTAGGTATTATTGCAAAGCAAAATATCTGTGAAGATCGATACGGTGCTTATTAAAATAATGCTTCGTTTTTCACTTTATTTTTCCCGCTATTTTAATTCTCTTTAAAACCGAAAAGCTGTGTAGAGTAGGTCTCTTGTAAAACAGCTTTCTGGAGAGTTATTAATTATCATTACATTTACAATAGATGTCGGACTATACACTGATTACATCTGTTGCCATTAGTATCCCGAAATATGTCTTCTCCCAACTATTTAATATATATATATAGCTAACTAGCAGTGTTATTTGTGGACGAGTCCGCCAAACGTATCATGCCTGAACACAGTTTTCCATATATAGTCTAGGTGTAAAGTAATTTCAGATTACCACTGTAACAGCAGAAGGTAAGACATCGGAGCAAACGTATATTATTCTGCAAACCATTTTATAACGAGATCAAGTAAGCAAACCTGTGTCTACAATCACTACGTTATCGTCATGCTTTCATTAAAATTTTGCAAAATAAAGAATTAAAATCAACTCTTATGAGTTATGTTGCATAGATTAATATATCAGTCCACCGTCAAACTAACACCAATCAAAAGTGAATGCAAAATAAGTTTCTGTGGGATTTTAGAAATGATGCATATACAACAAATTATGAAACAACGCCATAACCGTCTTTTCCGTTTCATCTTCAGACTCATTTAGACATTTCTGATGATAATTTATTGAACAATTTTAGGAGTCTGAATTAATATTTGAAAAAAATATGTGTAGGATGAATCAGAATACGTTACACCAATCCCTATAGTAACTGTTCCACACCTCTACCACAAAACAATGAAAAAAGATTCGCATGCTAATCACTCAGTTCAAAAACAGTGATAACTCCCTTGGTTACTATTGTTATGCGCATACAATTTTCAGTCAATTTTAAAGGCTATTGAAAGTGTATTGTTAAGTCATTTATTCGGTATTCAATATAATGAAGTAAGTTCTAAGGTGGAATCCACTCTGAGAGTAATGCGTAGCTAAAAGTATTTGCAATCCTCTTGACTGCAGCTTCAGCCTACGGTGATGAAGGATTCCTTTTTACATGCTGTGAATCAGCTAGTGTGACACAAATAAAATAAGTCGTGAAAAATGAAAGACGTGTGTAATGATATCAATATATAACAAAAGAAGGCAAGACACGGAAACAAAGGTATACTTTTCATTAGTCAAACCGCTATTTATATATGTACAGTTTATATTCTTCAGCCAATCACTGAGCGTGTGATTTTGGTTTACATTAAACGACATGAAATAGAATGCTCAAATACATACGTAGTATTCTGTTGTTAACGCAGTGTTGAGCTTTAGGGATATATGAGAATAATATTCCGTCGGAACACATTGTCTGCATCACACCACTACACCACGATGTTCAGAAGTAGCAGCAATTTGTCGACTGAAATCTAACATATATATATATATATATAAATCGACTATATGTTTCGCTTTTTTTGATTGCACACTAGTCAGTAACTAGTGTGCAATCATAAATATCTAATACAGTCCTACAGGAGGTCAATCGCGAGCCTAAGTAGCTCAGTAGTAACGTCTCTGACTGCATCACTGGGCGACGCGGATTCGAATCTCAGAAGGGACATGAGTTCCTTCAAGGTTGCAGATACCACTTGCTGATGAGTGCCAGTTAGTACGAAAACTAGGTCCAAGGTTCCCTGTCGATTGCCTCCAACCGTCTAATAGTAACGGTTTCTCTTTTTCTTTGCTCTGGTTATTGGTTATATTCTTATCGCTTTCTTTACTGTTCCTTGCTTTATATTTTCATCTTATTGCTTAATTTATAATTTATAAATATTATACATTTTTTCAATAAATTATAGCTGAAAGTGCAAACTTGATTATCAGCTAGATTTCAACCAGCTGTCTGAGGAATAACTTCCACTAAAACAGTATCAGTCTGCCAGTATAAGGTTATCTCTACTTCCAATACTGCTTCATATTCCAAATGTCTTCACTTGATTTTAATTCACTATATCTTTATGTTGGTTCTTAGAAAACTGTTTGTTATTCTGTTATTTTATCCCTTCTTCATATCATATATCTTCAGGTTATTTCTTGTCTAATATCTCCATGTTAGATTTTCTACCTACTTCAGTTTTAATCACTCTTCTGTAGAATTATTACTTCTGTCATTTAGATGGTATAATTTGCCAACCTAGAAACAAATATTTGTTTGGGATAATCTAGGACTGATAGGTTATAATTGGCACAACAAGAGATAATTGAAGGCGAAATGATAACCTAGGTCATGGCAGAATTTGAACTATCGGCCTCTGAATTGTTACCCTATAGCCATGAGTCCTAGCCACTAAACAGGTTACTATTTCACTGCAGTTAGCAGAAGTTAATACACAGTTACAGTGTGATGAATACAATGCGTGCCATTACCTATACTGATTGCCTGAGTCATGAACTTCGTCGGCTGCGTTTTCATATACACTTATTACGTGTGTGTAGAGAGGCTTATTTCAGGTTAATTTTAATCTTGAAATAAATCCAGATAATCGCATTTACAAATGATATCTCAAATTAGCAAACTGTATCCAAATATTGAAAATAATATCCACATGAAAGCGTATAGAGTATATAGAGTGAGTGAATGCAGGTCATCGGCACAATGTTGTTCTTACCTTGCAACAGTTGCTTGTTGTTGTTTTCACAACAGGCAGCAAATCTTCTCCCTGTATATTTTAAAAATCTACTCATTTTTCCTCACCCATTTAAACAGAAATAACGTTACTACATTATCATTCCATGTTTAAAATGACTGAGCAGACACACTCTGAGTGGTACAGACTAGCATGAGAACTGTTTCACACATAAGTATATACGAGTTTTAGTGCTCATCTGTAGTTGTATATGTCTGTTTATCTAGATATCAACCAACTCAACAACCTACCATGTATATATATATATATTATATGTTGTCTACACAAGTCTTAGAATTACGTACGTGAACTGTTCGTCTATATGGAATATATATTAAATGAAAAAAGTAGCTAAAAGTTTGAAAAAAAGACGCACTCATGGAATAAAGATGTTTGGAATGTCAGTTTACATCATTGTCATTGTCAACAGTAAAATATCACAGTTATTAAGGTGTGAATATTATCACAGTGCAATTCTATGAATCCTTATGAATTTATTCCATGTTTATTTATATAGAAATCAGTGAAAGTTGTTTCCTGATAATACTTTCTATCTTCATATAAAAGATTCTTTTCGTTCTAAATTTATTTTGTAAATAAATTACAGTATTATGACTTTTGTCACCAGTAATAACCAGCACTCTTCAAAATGACCTCCATGAATAGTTGCATGAATGAACATGTTACAAATAATGATGCTTCTCATTTACATATAAAAAATAGAACAAGTGTTGATGGCAAATTGGGCCGTGATCCAAAACATGAAACAATTAATCAGTTGGCTAAAGATACCTTGAATATTGATTTACCCGAATCACAAAGTTCAACAAATCGAGCACTTTTTGTATTCTCAAGGAATAATCTTATTCGTAAAGCAGCTCGAAGTATAATTGAATGGGGATATCCTTTTCACTGGTGTATATTATTAGAGAAATTTAAAAGGGGTTTGAATTGTATTTATTAATTATTTATTTATTGCCACACATTTTGTCATTAGAAAACAAATCCATTAGTGTTAGTGTATTATTTAGAGTTAGAATTTATTTAGTTTTTCAAAGGTAGCTTAGGAAATGATGGTGATGAACGAAGCAGAGATAGAGTACTATCTGGCTTTTACTCTGGTTGACACCTGTTCACTAACATGCAGCACCAGTGTGAGTAGTTCCAAATGCAAGCTTTACAAGTCTTTCAAAGACCACCTTTCCTTGAATTTATTCACTTGCAGTTTAATGATTCACATATTTCATCTGAAAAAGGCAGTCCCATAATTTATCGAATGAACGAGCATATGATGGTTAAGTGGATGTACAAGTCAATAATATATATGTATATATATAGTAATTTCGTACAAGAATCGAAATGGTTTTACAACTGGAAATTGATATGATTATGAAAATCTTTGAAAAGCCTCTTGAAGATAACCAGTATAATCTGTGGGTAATAATTTGTTCTTTGTTTTGTTCCCTTTACGTTTTGAGTGAAACATAGGGCTTCAAGATTCAGCTATGAAGTTTTTGTAGCAGAGATATTCATTTTTACGGGATGGCGTTGCTATCCTCATGCCCAGCCTTCCCTCTTTACCAGTCTTATTACAGGGTTATCGAGGTAAAGCAGTGCGTCGGTGTCCGGGAATTAAACCTCGAACCACCTGCGTTGTTGGTGAGCATTCTACCTCTGTGCCACTGCAGCTTATCAACTTGTTAATGCCTACTTTTCATTCTTTGCATGAAAGTATTTTTAGTAGATGAGAATGACTTAATGACTGATGATTTATACAATATCTTATACATTCAGACAAAAGAACTGTCTTTTGTCATTATAACTATTTCGTCTTTGCATTTAAAACATATCTATGACAACGTATCATTTCGAATACAGTTTATTTAATTAGTAGGAAGTGTGATGCATAAAAAGTGACCCAACTCTATATTCATACTGCTCTATAAAAACAACCTAAATTTCCTATCTTTTCTAATTCGTTTTGATACAATATGAAGCTGTGCTGCTTCAGTAGAAATTCATCTAACCATCATTTTGTTGATAAGTTGTTTCAAGTTACATATTTTAGTCGTCCATATACATTCATTCAGTTGGATAGCATTATTCTTTTGCATCCACATCTATGGAATACTATTTACTTTTATTGGTTTAGTCGTTTAAAATGATCGAAAAACCCTCCTCGCAGTGTTCAACCACCTATTGTTAGCAAGATGTTGGCGGTGGTGACTAATTAGGTTTGACTTAATGCAGATTACAATTTATGAAAGTGTTAAATAAGGTGTGCGGTAAATAGGAAGGTGATACTTTTCATGTTGAGTATTTTTACAATTGGAATCCAAATAAAATTTACTGACATCCAAATACCATCGCACAACTAATGCTTATTTCAAGTGTTGGTTTGTAGGGATTTGATTGGTTTCACGATTTCATCATGAGCTGACATTAGTTAGAGAACCAATGGTTCTCTAACTAATGTCAGCTCATGATGAAATCGTAATACTTATTTGTCTGAAAACCATTAGCAATTCTCAACAATGAAATTATGCAGAATCACAAAAGACCTGTAGCTAAATTGTAACTTGTCTGAAACAAGGTACACACAACTGCTACTAAATCTTATAGCTCATCAGTGTGAACTGCTGAAAGGTGAAGAGTGAAAGAGAATCAACTTTCCAGGGCTTTCCAATTTTCAATAGTCCTTTAGCTAATATATGTAAGAGACGAATAATATGCATAATAATATGGATTTAACGATGGACAAGCATTAAATTAGTGTCTGTAAAAAAATACTACTGATCACATGCTACCTGTTATTTTCATGACAAAATTTAACATAGTTAGAAAATTGTTAATTACTCTAAAATGTTCTTCCCTAGTTTATTTTAAAACTTTCTAAAATAACATAATGAAAAAATAAGAGATTAACTCAAGGGATGAATTATTGATTTTATGCGAGCTTAATCGTCTGTTATTGCTAAAATAAAATGTTTATTACAGAAAAAGAATTAGTCGGAAATTGAATGATGTGACAGACTTCGAAATAATTGGATTTTATAGTCTTTTTTATGACTTTTATTACTATTATTATTATTACTCTTTATCGAGTCATATTTTGGTCACACATATGGGTAAAATTTTAAAACTCCTTTTTCTTGTTTTTACATTTACTCCATTGCTCTACTAAATAAAATTAAATTCTGATGGCTTTAACAATTGATTGCTTATAAATTAATAATTTTAAAGACAGATTCCAACTCCAGCCAGTTTTAGTCAGAGAACTACACAAAAATAAAAAAACTGGATGGTCATTTTAGGCTAGTCTGGGAATCTGTAGTGAAGGCCAAATTGCAAACGTGACTGAGAGAACCCAGTCTGCACGAAAGATAGGACTAGACATATTAAACTAGTTACTTATTAATGCCCAATCGAAAATACTCTGCAGTAGCGTTAAGTAACAGCTCGATCAGGATTATGGTCGTGAAATATTATCTTCACATTTAAAGCGACTGGTAATTGTCTGTTGTCTCACCTAATTTAGAGGACTGCATGCATCACAATATTTCAGAGTAACTCAACGATATTCTTTTGAAAGTTGAGCAATATGCAGGTATCAGAACTGTAAGGATTCCAATGATCCTGAAGCCTAATTTCTCGAAAAATTATGTTGTATCTTATGATATACATTCAACAATGAATAGTGATGCCACGGAAAACAACCATTTATTCCTAAGTGAGAGCACAGTTTTCGTTCAGCGAAGAAATTTCTTTCTGTCGTATTTATATTACAGAAAAAGTTATTAAGTGGCACTAAATAATTGCTCAGTCAATATACATATATAATTGATAAGAACAACGATAATCAAAATCTTATAAGGGGTAGAGTTGAAGTGGATGGATTACAAAATTATTAAACACTGTTTTATAAGTGAATTGATACCGAAAATATTTTTTGAAAAAATTGTCAGGCGTTGTCTAAAAATTTTAAAAATTAGGGGTACGATTACGATAAGAATAAAGATGTGAAGTGAAGTGGAATGAATTCAAGTGGTAAAGTAAAATAAAATAAAGACTAGAAAGAACATTACTATGACCAAGGTAAAGAAAGGGGTTTGACGAAACGTTTTTGAACACATAATTTAGGTTTCTGTTCATGTATAGCTAAAGCTTCGGCTATGCATAAGTGAAGAAAACGTAAACTTTTTGAGCGATTCAATTTTGTCACGTAGATAACCTTGAAGGATGAATCACGTGGGGCTGAATGAACAGACTCTAACGGGTGATCACAAATAGACGACTTTGCAGTTCTACGTTCACCTTTCATTAACCAAAGCGGATGGTGTTCAGCTACACGTTTTCGGAGAGCACGCTTACAACGTCCCATATAATTAGCTCCACAGGAGCAGGTAAAAGAGTAAATGCACATAGATGTGGACATAAGCGGTAATTTATCCTTAACGCATTGTCTAATCATGTTTCGGCTGGTAAAAACTACTTGCAAGTCGGCTGCAGGAAAAGTGCGCTTAATACATTTAGATAAACGATTTTTAATCAATTCAGAAATGGTGTCACCTTTGAATACAGGACTCATAAATAGTTTTTCTTTGGTACTGTGATTCGTCAAACCCCTTTCTTTACCTTGGTCATAGTAATGTTCTTTCTAGTCTTTATTTTATTTTACTTTACCACTTGAATTCATTCCACTTCACTTCACATCTTTATTCTTATCGTAATCGTACCCCTAATTTTTAAAATTTTTAGACAACGCCTGACAATTTTTTCAAAAAATATTTTCGGTATCAATTCACTTATAAAACAGTGTTTAATAATTTTGTAATCCATCCACTTCAACTCTACTCCTTATAAGATTTTAATTATCGTTGTTCTTATCAATTATATATGTATATTGACTGAGCAATTATTTAGTGCCACTTAATAACTTTTTCTGTAATATAAATACGACTGTACAGCTTGAGAATGAAGTCGTTGAAAAGAAATTTCTTCGCTGAATAGAAAATAGAATAGTGATGTCACTAAATCATAAATTAGCAGTTAATGAAAACAATAGACCATTGAATTCCTGCTTGCTGAGTATGATTCTTGGTGAGAACAGTTATTTGCATCACTCAAAAGTTTTAATGTAGGACGGGATAGCTGTTCAGTAATTTTTTGATTTAAGGTTTCGTTTTACCCGAAGTTGGCCTAATTTCCACAAAATTAACGCTGGCTATTTAATCTGGTCCGCACTTCATATGGAATGACTCACTGAAACATGTTACGTAATAAATAAATAAAATAGGTTTTTAATATGATGGTAATATAAGTGAAGATTTAGATTAAACTGATAATTTACTTCAGCGAAATAGTTTATGCACCATGGAGAATAAGAATAGATGAGATTCACAATATCAGATGTGAATTCCATCAATCATAGACAGCAGATAAGATTTCAGTTATTATTCCTGAAACTACCGTTACTCTATTAAGAGTAGTTAATTTTATCAACAAATATTTGATATAAGTGTACTCTTTTACCTGATGAACTGTTTCATTCAATGAATAGAACTGGTATGAAACCAATGAATTACCTATGAATTTCCTAGCTATGTATTATTATTTCTTCATGAAATTATGATTACTTTCTAAGCCTTAATACGGAAGTGAATGTTACAAAATAATTTTAACTTCATCTTCGGTCATCTCCTATTATATTTTTTACCATGCTTGTAAGGAATCTCAGAATTATAACCCAACTTTGACTGTTTTAATTACATGTTAGAATCAACTAGGGAATCATTTTATTCTTTAAAGCTGCACAGGTTTATGAAGTTCTAACTGAACAATCTATCTCTTTTAAAATTAAATTTATTATTTTCAATTCCGGTGGCAGACACAGCATGAAT